CATAGCAGCCTGTACAGCACTATGTACCACTCACTTCCTTTTTCCCACAAAGTGTCCGAATAGTGCTTCATGGAACTCAGGAGTCCTGACATGAAAAAAGAGATATATGAAAAATAAAAGTACTTCACTGAAGAGATATTATTTTAAAAAACATTATCACTTTTCAACTTTGTTCATTGATTTTGTACAAAGTTTCTGTCCTGCTTTTCTGTTATTTGCACATTACTTATCCCAAATACCTCTTTTCTTTTTCTTCTTTTCAGCACCCTCATCTTCCCCCTCGCCCTCCGTCTGCTCCCCATCTGTGGCCTCACCAGGGGGCGCTGGCTTCCTGCAACAACAATTGTCGTTTGGTCAGAAATATTTGTAAAACTACATAAATTATCAACTCCTTGGATCTAATATGCTATTCAACATACAGCATTCTGAATTACAATTATTGACTTAACTATCATGTCAGTCTTCTGTTAAGACTGACTCCATGTAAAAATTTTGTTTTACTGAAGCATAGTTTACACAAAGCTTGAGAGTGACTACTGTAATATTTCAGACATCTTTTGAAACTTTGCCTTCAAACTTGAACATGATTCAATTTGTCCAACATTCACTGTCAAGTAGAAACTTAATCTGTACACTTATTGCATACGTTATTGCCAGAAAAAAACATATTACTAATTTCAAAGTTCAATAACTTCAACAGTTAACAAGTTTTTGAAATGAAACTTTGCAGATTTCAGATACATGAGGGAGATGTCAAAAATCACAAGGGCCAAAAAGGGATTTTTTTATTTAATACATTAATTTTTTTCAGTATGCCAAAATGAGAAAAGGTGGTGAAATTTTCAGCATTTATTAAAAACATAATTTTCCTTATAATCCCATTGTGAAAATTCCACAACTGTTGAAGTAATTTGAATTTGAAATTAGTAATCCTTTTTTATCCACCTGATATAAAGAAAGGACATGCCTCAAGCACATATTGAACACAGGGAGAAAAAAGATTGCATCAATACAATTTAGGAAGATCAGCTGCTTTATACACCATGAAACATTGTATATATTGTTCAACAATAAAGGGAATATGAAACTTCAAGTTTTTTATTTTATAATACCAAAAATTATTAAAATAATCAACAATCTTAAGAAGAAAAATATAAGTGTAAAGCATCCAGCACATACCATAGAAAAAAAAAACATTACCTTAATACCAACAATCATATAACAATGGAAAGAAATTATGAGGTCTATTTTGGTATAGAAAGGAAAAAAACACAAAAATTGAGTTATTCTTTTCACAACCACATGGAATAGTGATACACTTAATATGTTTAACCCAATATCATATGTATCATTCCAAAATGTGCACATTTCTACATGTGCAAATATGTATAAGTGACCAGTGCTGCTAAATTAGAACTCAACATGCATTGAACATATACCCAGTTAGTCAATATGAGAAATCTGTGGCATTATTATACTATGACAGTTTTAGCATACTATGAATATCATTTTCTTCTTAGAACTGCCTTACAGAAACTAAACAAAATGCTATTAATTATCAACACATGTAATACAAAAGTTCATTAATTTAGTGAGATATCAATTATGTTAAGTGGTAAGTAATGCAATAATCAATTGTAACAGCACACAAACTTCAGTCTGTGATATAGTCATTATAGAGAGGTAATATAAGTTCAAGCTATAACTACTTATTAATACATAAAATGTTTAAGAAAACAATTTTACATAACAAAAGTTTTCTCAGTTAGATGCACTGTTCATCAGCAGCAAAAAGTGTCATTTGAATTAATATTATGAAAAAGCAATAACTTATAGGTAAAGTGAATTGTCCCCGTAGAAACAAAACATGACTTGCTGTAGGTAAAAACAAATTTTGTGCCTTTAGGAACAATTTACTTTTGTACCATCTTTATTCACGAGACAATGTAAAAGCTATATAACACCACAATAAAATTGCTTTCAAGAAATCAAAAATGATCCATAATGAATACAAAGAGACACACCTGGCAACCAACCATGCCAGAGCATACTGAAGAACTACAGGTTGCTTTAGAAATAAATATAATAACATTCGCAATTCATAATATAATATGATATAATATAATATGTGAAAAGGGAATATCACTTTTTGTGGCCTAAAATAAATAAAGTGATAATTTTGAGTTATTTGGAGTCATTATCTGGTGAACAATAACATCGCTGGCGCAAGAGTAAATGGCAGCCCACTGACATGTGTAGTACATGCCTCACTCACCCTTAAAGTGACCAAAATGTGCAGAACATGACTTGAAATTATCGTTTTATTCATTTTAGGCTCCAGATAGTGATGTTCCCCTTAATTTCTACTCATTACTTAGAGTAATAAAATAGAAAAATTGCACACAGCTTTGCATACATTTTAAATATGATAAAAAACATGTCAATCAAATCTCACGCATTGTGGAAAAAAATATCACACAGATTTAGCACAAACAATTGGGGCACATTTAGAAACAGAATGCTTTAAAAAAAGGTAACTTCAGGAAGATACTTTGATGTTATCCTTCACCCATTGAAATTCTCTGAGATGGTTCTCAATGTTCTCTATATAGACTGTTTAAACTCATGGTTTACAGATTCAGAGGGCATGTACATGTAAGTGGTCAAGGGGGAGGGTGTAATCAAAGTGTCCACTTCCTGAAGTTCAAACTAAAACCAAATTTCTATGGAAAAAACTGAATGTAATATCAGGCCCCAGTTTCACAAAACAGTTCCCTGGCTTAGTTGACTAGGATTTTCATGAGAGTGCTGTTGCACTGCTCCCGATAGGGTAAGATGTGCCCATGTGACCATGTAACCTTGGTAATTAAGTTCTTAGCCAGGGAACCTGACTTAAGTTTTTTTGTGAAACCGGAGCCTGACTTCAACCAGTCTGGTTCCAAAAGACAACAGCACACAATTAAATCAATAACCAATTTCATTATCTGGGACTCGGCTGGAACTCCGTACCACAATTCACGAATAAAAAAAGAGGGATAAAATAATTTTAATCAAAAATCCACTCAGTGACAAATGAAAGACATGTCAAAGAACAAAATGTCATAGTGACATATGGAAATGTCAAATCAAGATGATGCAGTGCTGGTCACATCAGTTGTATCTAGATATATAATAATTATTTAAAGTGTACTCACTTTATCTTCTTAGGTTTGGCAGGTAAGTCACTGAGAAGTAGGGGAGAGTGGTGGTTAACGGTGGGTTTAATAGAGGTAGAATCACAGGAATGTTCATAATCAAACTAGGAGTATTGAAATAGCCTAAGTTACCAGAAAATTTCCAGGGTAACTGTTATAACAGTTTTAAATTGGACAGTCTCACAGTAGTTTTTTGTAACAGGTCTCTTGCCAGAGGGACCGTCCAATTTATACAAAAATTTGGCAAACAAGACCATAACAATGTTAACTTACTATGCCTTTATGAAAGGCTATTTAACAAAAAAATGTTCTTGGGCTTTGCTTAGGCTGCTAAAATCAGACAGCCAACTAAATAAAGTTAAACTTTGTGAAATTAGTCTAAGAGCTTTTTATTAAAGAGTGATTGGTCCCCAATACATGTATCTGGCATACCTAAATGGGGTACTGTCAAAAGTGAGAAAAAAAACTTGATAATATAATCCTAATTTGGTCAAAGGGCTTATGTAAAAGATAAGAAAGAAGCAAGTGAGCTTTTAGTTTCCTTGTGAAATGCAACTTAGTCGACTAAATATCAGTTATTTAGTTAAGATTATATTGACTAAAAATTTTTTCTGGAGAACCTAGTCCCTGATCCCTACATGATATCAGGTTATTTCTGGAAAAAGGTGACATGACTGGGAGCGTTGGCATATAGTTATTGGTACCATTTCACATGTGTTGATATAAACATAAAGTAAAAAACCTCTAAGTGAATTGCAATGTAGACATTTAAAAAATAGATACATGACATAAAAAAGCTGCTATAAAGAAAATACATCCAATCATTTCAGTGTTGATTGCATTATCTTCTTCAGAGCCTTATGCACTTAAAAGTCACCTTCATATGACTGCATTCTTCACAAAGATCTCACTTTCCCCAGCAGAATTTTCATAGCAAAAACAAAGTATAGACCACTAATTTATAGTCACTTATTATGGGATTTTTTTAAAAATTATTATTCAAGTGAGATCCCACAAAAATATGTGATTCAAGAATTTTGAAAATCGATCCTACTGAGGATCAAAGATATAGAACAGTAAAGACAAGACACTGGCCATGACAGGTAGTGTTAGTAGAAGAACATTGCTTTAATTAAACTACTTTAAAATTAGCTGTGAAATTAAATCATGTAGTCATCAATGTATTATTTTAAAAATGAACTGTCTTCGTTAGAAAGGATTATCCCAGGGATAAAAAAACTGAGCATTCATCATTCTATCACCCTATCATTCATTTCCCATTACAGACATGCTGAATTTTTTTTAAAGCTGGACCTTCTCACTGACAGTTATGAATCATTTGTCCCACCAAATGACTTTTTGCCAAACTGACTGTAAATTCAAAATGGTGGCTCTAAAATTTTTCAAAAATTATAATCCACTTGCTTTTAATTTTTTTTTTTTTTTTTGCTAGTCCCTTTTAGGGGCAGATCCAGAGATATTTTCTTATAGTCTTCCAATTTTTGTTGTTCCATTCTCTATTTTGACCGTCTTCCGACAGAAAAAATTAAATACCAGTCAATGTTAACTTGAAAATCTGACAAGAAGATCCAGAAGACAGCCTCAATCCGCCCCTGCCTTTATTGACTGAACCTAATTCTACTGGTACCTGACCAGTAGGGCCTACAGTTTCAGCATGTCTGCATCATGAGGGCATGGCAGCCAGAACAATGCACCATTTCTTCTAGCACCATCAGGCAACCAAGCAGTATCAAACCCAGAACCCTTGAAAGGAAGTAGGCTAAGCCAAACATTTGAATGCAACACAAACATTTTACAAGCCAGAAGCATCACCTTTTTCTTTCCCTTCAATACCAAGTGAGTTTAAAACTTAAATAAGTAGCAGGTTGCTCTGACTGGTTAAAAATTTCAAACAAATATTGCAAAAATGCGCAATTCTATGTTTAACATTAGTGTTAACAAAGTCATGATAGACAAAATAGTAAGCAGATACAATGTAGCAACAAATAAGGAAGGTTTTGGGACCATTCTCTCAATCATTGCCAACATCATTCCTAGATTTCCATTCTAACATAAAACCAAAACCCAAAGATCGCGAAATTAGTAAAAAGAAAGATCAACCAACCACAGCTGTAACTCAAACTCCTGCCCCGGCAACCTGTAGAAAACAATGCTAAGTTAATTGACAGAACAAAGCAGACGACACTTTGAAAACTAAAATTATTTTGATATAATTTGCATGCAGGAGTCTACTTACTACAAATGATAATATACTAGTAAATTTTGAATGTTTGTCTTCAAACTGCATTGGAATTTTATTTGATTTACAAATTTAAAAGGTAATGTCTGACGAAAAAAGCATTCCATTACCCTCCCTCCTCCTCCCCCATACCCTCTCCCTCCTGTCACTTTAACTTGCCTTCATCACACACAATCTATCACATCAAACATAAAAAAAAAGGAGAATACTGTCTGAATCCTAATTTGTAGAAACATAAGCATAAGCAAAATAAAGAAACTAAAACAAAGCCACACAGTTCAAAGCTGAATTGTGCAATGCTTGGCTGGCTGTCATCACTTGCACATTACGCTTAAATCCCAGTAACAGGCCTACCCAACTACCAGACTCGGCACATAAAGATCCTGAATTAACCGGTATATAGGACCACACTATATGTGTATTAGATCGCATTTCAGAGTATCATACCCCAGAACATATTTTGTGGGACGACCGTGGGGTCATCCTGACGGTGTTCTGACTGCTACTCCGAAATGCGATCTGACACACCTTGAAAATGGGTAGTGTGGTCTGATATACCAGTTAATTCAGGATCCGTATGTGCCAAGTCTGGTAGTTGGGTAGGCCTGAGTAAGTACCATCATGGTATGATTGACACTTTCTGGCCGTCAATCAACTGCCAATCCAAATGTTACACTATCACACCCATAAGTCTTCTCTTTTATTATTTCAAGTCTCTTTTTATGTCTTAACACACCACTCTTCATGACACATACAAACCATAGATATAAACATTCAAACCTTAACAATTAACCACATTTCTACCCTGACATCACATGCCCACAGACACCAGTGTACCTCCTGCTCTTATAGACACCAGGTGTCACTCTAATACAACTTTACAACATAACGAGTATACGGCCATCTTTAACACTCACAAATCAATAACTTCACAACATAGCATTCTTCCGACAACTCACTAACATCTCTAGATATCACTAATATAGTCTCTATTACAACATTACTACATAAACCTAAATAAATACAAGTACCTCATTTTAACAATAAGATATCTCTGAGACGATATCCAAATTACTCACAAGTATCTCTTGACATCACTCATCAGCATGAAGGGTTTGTGGAAGTAGTGTACTTGTAGTATCACCATGATCAGGAATACAGTGGGGGTGAGCATCTTGAGCACTAACCCTGCCACATCGTACTGCTCAAGTCCTATGTCTGCCAGTCTGGAAATAATGGACGAAAAACATTAAGGTAGAGTATAAGGTAATAGCCGCATCTGAGTGGTGGAAGAAATGTACTTGATGCATCACTATCAATGGGAATACTCACTGATAATCAGAACCAATACTGTCCCATTCTATTATTGTCATCAGATAGTCCTGTCCCATAGTAAGATGACACTCCCATCCTGTATTTACATGTCATCAGATAGTCCTGTCCCATACATCATCAGATGGTCCTGTCTCCTACTCAAGTTGTCAGACAGTCTCATACCATACTTACATGTCATCATACAGTCCTGTCCCATACTTATATGTCATCAGACAGTCCTGCCCCGTACTTACATGTCATCAAACAGTCCTGTCCCATACTTACATGTAATCATACAGTCCTGTCCCATAGTTATATGTCATCAAACAGTCCTGTCCCATATTTACATGTCATCAGACAGTTCTGTCCCATACTTACATATCATCAGACAGTTCTGTCCAATACTTACATGTCATCAAACAGTCCTGTCCCATACTTACATGCTATCAGACAGTTCTGTCCCATACTAACATGTCATCAGACAGTCCTGTCCCATGCTCACATGTCATCAGACAGTCCTGTCCCATACTTACATGTCATCAGACAGTCCTGTCCCATACTTACATGTCATCAGACAGTCTTGTCCCGTACTTACATGTCATCAGACAGTCCTGTCCCATGCTCACATGTCATCAGACAGTCCTGTCCCATACTTACATGTCATCAGACAGTCCTGTCCCATGCTCACATGTTATCAGACAGTCCTGTCCCGTACTTACATATAATCAGGTAGCCCTGTACTGTACTTACATGTCATCAGACAGTCCTGTGCCATTCCTCCAGTAGCTGGGGAAGGCGTTGAACTGGTAGGTGTAGATCAGGATGAGGACTAGCATTGAGTAGATGATAACCACCCACCAGAACACATACAGGACGAACCTCCAGACTTTGTACGACAGCTGGAATAGAGTTCAATCACAAACTGCATGAAATGTTTGTCTCCAATTAAATATATCTCAACGGATAAAGAAATGCGAATAAAGAAAATGTTCTTTGCTGAGACAATAAGTTCTAGGCATTGTTCTTGGCGAAAATAATTGAAGATAGAGGCAGAATCATACTGCTTATATCATATTGAAGTGCTCTTACAATTCAAATGGGTGCTTCCGTGTTGCCCCAAAAACTAATTTTAACAGATATGTGCAACTGTCTTTACATTAAGCCATAGCAAACTTGGACTAGTGTATTTCAGCCTCTTGAGATATTAGACTAAGTCCTCTTAGACATATCTAGTATATAAGGGGCATTCCGTGGTATTCGTTTTGCATTACGGACGGAATTTTGACACTTTAAAAATAAATTCTACAAGAACTATAATACATACATTGTTCAAATTTGGCAAGAATATTGATTAGTGCAAGCCTAAACTTGTGACCAAAAAACTTGAAATAACATCTATTAGTTTTTGAGAAATATTGGTTATTGATCACCATTACGGACAGAAAAAATGAACAAGCATCTTTATTAAATAACTTCAACTTCAAAACTCTGCTCTGTTTGTGGCTTTTTAAAGATAAAACTGCATTGACATGACAATTTCATTATTCTAGTTACTAGAAATGTAAAAGGTTATTTAAAAAAATAACTGATGCTAACTGATGCTAAGGAGAACAAAATCTAATGGCTTTTAGCTGTTTAAGCACCATGTAAATCAACAGTGCTTCAACAATTTCAGTTGCATACACAATGAACTGTACCCATACCTGGAATATGATGATATAGAGCAAGAAGAGCAGCATATAGACACATCTGTACAGCACGGGTTTGTCTATTATACCCATAGCTAACATCATAGCAGAACAAACCAATATCCAATACTTGGATAGGAAACTCATCACAGCTTTTCCTGAAAGAAAAATTAAGTAAATTATTTAAAGAAAAAGAGAATAAATTTTTGCTGGGAATGACCCTGCTCGCATTTCTAGGGTGTAATTAATTTGTAATGTGCTGTATTCCTCTTAATTTACTCACCTATTTTGGTCATGGTGTCACTGTCTTTGCCGTCAGTATGACCAACATCTGAAACATCAAAAAGATTTATCAGCCAATAACAGTATTGTCACTGTGAGTGAAGGTTGACAACAAGGATGTGGCAACAGAAGGCTAAAGAAGGACGTACTTCCTCTTCCTTCTTGCTTCATGACAGCAAGCTTCCAAAAAAAAACCTCACATATGAAAAGTAGGAAATCCAATGAAGGAAGAATTACATCCCTAAATATTAATGAACTTCAATGTAGACATTCCATTATAAAATCTTCACCTACCCTGACCACCCTGATCTTGCCGCACCCCCAACTCCAGCCCCTTCTCCATCTCCAGCTTCATAAACTTATTCACATCTGGTAAATCAATGTATTCCATAATAAAATGTCTACTTACCCTGTCTGCCTTGATCTTGGCGGGCCTCCAACTCCAGCCCCTTCTCCAGCTCTAGCTGTTTGTTCAGAGTGGTCTCCTTACGCCACTGACGCAGCGTCAGCCAGAAGAAGAACGTATAGATAACCTAGAAGATAAGTTTATAAAATTTTAGACTCAGTTCAATAATTTTCACATTATAAACCTTCTCAAGGCAAGTTTATACTCATGTTATCAAATTAATCGAATATGATAATGTAGATGTCCGTCTGCTACAAATCAGTTTCCCTTAGTGTTATTAAACATTGGTGGTTTGGAGGCCTGAGGGTGACCCACTCCAAACCCTCTCTTCTTGACCCTCAAGACCAACTTAATAAATTGTCATCACTTTTTTCAATAAAATCTATGTTGTCTGTGTAATAACATAACTTCAATCTTTACCTTGACAAACATTCCCTAATGGAAATTTCCTACAGGAGTCCTATATGTCTCTTATAGTTTATTGGCCAAAAATCCTATAGGATCCAATAGGACATGTTCTGGATAGGAATCCTGTAGGATATCTGATAGAAGTCCCATAAAGTCCTGTGCAATCTTTACAGAGTCCTATAGGGTATTTTCATAAGGGCTGTTTAAGTTTATTTTCTAAAAAATTACCATAATAATAATAAAATGTTGGTATTTACCTTTACGCCAAGAGGCAGACAAGGGTATGGATAGCGGTTTAACCCAATCTCCTCATAGGTCTCTGTCCCTGGCAGCTCCTTCTCAATACTGAGACCAAACACGTAGCCAATGATCAGCAAGCAATGGGCGTACAGGATTATGACAGGGGAGGCATGGAGGCAGACAGTGCGAGAGTGGGGCGTCATCCAGATAATACAAGCAGCCAATAGGAACACAAAGGTCAACCAACTGTGGTAGGTTATGCTCCAAAGCTAAAAATGTAAATGTCAAGGTCAAATAAATCTGGGTCAAGGGCACAACTGACATCTACTGTAGTTTGATGTATATGTACTGATTAAATTCAAACAAATTTGGTTAAAATCTATTCCAAGAACAATGTTGTGCAAATAATTTCTCAAAATACAAGTTTTGAAAAGTTATTGCATTTTAATACAAAAACAAATGATAAGAAGTCAACATCATTTCAGTGAGTAAGGTGTTTTTATAAGAGAAATCACTGTAAGCTAAATCATACATCCATACCATCATGACAACTAGGGTTACAATATAGCTCTGCCTCATCAGGTAGAAGAAAATAGTCCCCCATATAGACCTCTGTGGTTTGGTATGGTCAGTTGTGGCCTGATTGGCCAGAGGAGGACTGTCCTGGTGACTGGGGGAGTCAGGGGGGACAGGCTCCAGAGAGTTGTAACTGATGGGCCGATCCTCGTTTTCCACCAAACGCTGAAATATATGTAGCACTGGAATAATTGGTGTGGCAATCTTTATTTTATACCAAACACTGGAACATATTAGTATAGAGAGCACTGACAAAGATGTAGGTGTAATACCAAAGGTGTGTCAATCTCCATTTCCTTTAAATCACTGGAATATATGGAATTGTAATGCATGCTAAAATCTACCACCAAGGGTGTAAATAAGTACATATCTACTGTTGTTGATTTTTTGTTCATAAATAACAAATAAATACAACATAGTTACATAAAGTTAACCCTCACTCTTAGATTATTAATTAGTAAGGAGGCCTTTTAATGCATTGTTCACTTTCACCAGGTCTATTCCAGTTGATTATTGAAACAACCAGGTCTTTTCCAGTTTATACAGCTCAATGAAGCAACCTGTTACAAATCTTGTCACCAGATGGCATCGCTGAGGCAGAGGGAGCAAGAGAACCCCTTTTTCAAAACTTGTAGAGGCTGTTTGAACAGCTATCATACACAATACCAATGAGCTAAATAGACTGAACCAAGTTACAGTTTTAATTCTGTATGATAGCTGTAGCCTCTAATATCTATCCTCTAAGTTGCAAGTATAAACCAAATAAAGCTATTTCATCAAGTGTGAATGTCAACATAATTTATCAGTTATCAAAACTGATCAGATTTCCAGATACTTAATCAACTGCCAAATGAAATTCTTTCTTTTTTAAAAAACAGTTGGTTTTTAACTTTACTATAATTTCATGTCAACTTTTATAATACTTGATTAGACCTTTTACTGTCTTGAATGGTTTTAAGAATTCTAATTTAAAAATTTTTCATGCCCATATAAAAATACATGCAACATTTAGGTCCTTATTTGCAATAATATACAAGTAAATTAAACATGCAGACAAAATTTGTGATCTCTCCAACCTGCAAATATTAATATTTTAAATAAGTCATTTTAGATTATATGTTACTTAAAAAATAAACATCGTATACCGAAATTATATGAAAGTCAACTTTATGAACCAACATCTTGGCATAAATGTTTTGCACATGGCAGCAAAAGCAAAAATATCTTATATATCAAATAAAATTATAATAAAAATGTAATTGCCATTTGTAAATAAAATGCCCATTTTGACATTGAGACTGAAGCAATCTATCCAATAAATCATGAAAAGTAATAAAGAAAGAAAAAAGGCAGCTGTCATGGTATATTTGATAACTGTTACAATGATTGCTGATCAGCCCAAGCCATACAGCATCCAATGAAAATCTTCTCTGATAACACACAATGTGAATAAACCAGGCGATGAAACATGAAAAAGGAATTCAAAGTGAATTTTCCATATGAACAGAACTAGGAAAATGTCTTACCTCTGCCTCAGACTCGGAGACGTTCAGATTATAGAGAAGGTCTGGAGGAGTCTGGACCGTTAGCAGAACAGGGGAAATCAGATATATCAACTAATATGCCATGAAGGTGGATCAAATCAGGAGAAACTGACATGGGTGAAAGTTGTGAAAACTGATAATCCTGAAAACATAGCTAACCTTGCAATTTCTCATTGCATTTACACCATTTGAAAAAATGATCAAAATAATCGGAAAAAAACTTTCACCCATGAACTTAAGAACTGGGCATGATTTAAAATTTTTCAACTGTGTTTTAGAGTAATCAAGTAAAACCTTATACTGTTAGTATGTATGTATGTATGTATGTATGTATGTATTCAATTCTACTGACACCCATACATGACCCGGGAAAACTTATTTATGATATGACAGGAGAGGAGCAGCCACTATTGTCCTTTTTCTGCTTTGAAAAAAAATATATTTTGATAAAATGTGCAAATTATGACCCTTTTTTTTAAACACTGTGGCAGTTGTTCTTTGTGCATCAAACATGCCTCAGTTGGTTCTAACATTGCCTAGATGACAGTACTCAAAATCTAATGCCTTATCAACAATGGAATATTAACACCTGTAAAAATGCAAGTTTGTCCTTTATAACACTAAGGACATATGTGAATATATAGACTTGGCAACTCTGGGGGTCCCGTTCATTTTTTTTCTTACCTTTTGGGAAAGAAAGGGGTTCAATGTTGCTGGCTATTTTGTTATTAAAAAGGGAGGTGTATATCAATTCCTTGTTGAAACTCTAGACAAGATATTCTTATCGACAGTTGGTTTACACTGAAACTACCAATACAGTGGGGAGTAGTGACACAACTGAAGCACCTGTCACTCTTAGAGAAAAGTAGATTTTTTTATACGTGTGTAAGTTGGAATTTATACCACCCGCCCGCCCGCCCGCCCGCCCGCCCCAAGGAAATGTCAGCTGCTACAATGTGTTGTATGTGTTACAATAACAACGGCACATTATTACAATGACTGGTTTAGAAATGCCCACACAGTGTTTTCATTTTCTCAAATTCTCACATAACTCACACAGGAATTGTGTTAGCTGTTTACTGAAGGAATTTCCAATTGTTATGTCCATGCTCAGTTTTTTTACCTGTATGCTACCTCCTGTTAAATCAGGCATCTTGGGAGTCGTCTAAAGCAACAAAATTAACAAATAATCATTACACCTTATCAAAATGCTTCAATATTAAATAATACAACAAGTCAGCTTAGCTGTGTTAATACTTCCAAAGTATTGAAAACAACTGCAGAAAAGTGCTAAATAATTTATAAATAATATTATATAAGAATTTAAAGTTACAATTTACAGTAGCCGTATAAGGGGCAAAAAAATGTATAAAACAATAAATGAATAAAACAAAAGTACAAATCTTGATAAGATCAATCGGTTCAAATAGATCCTTTCATTTCCTTAATATTTCAATCAAAACATTGAATCAAAAGCAAAAATAATACTAAAAATGATGTAAAATGAAATCTGAAGTTGATAGGTTTTATAGGTGTAGCACATGTTAGACATGATAAAGCTTTGCTATACGGACTTATGTAACAAAATCATGACATACCGCCTACGGTAGTGGTGGGGAGGGGGGGGGGGAGGGGGTGCAGTTGAAAATCAACATGGGAGTTAGGACTAAAATAGGAGAATAAATACATAGGATCAGAGAGGTGGCGCCACCTCCTGGGTGTGTACCACCAGCTCGATTATGGCATGAATGATGAATGATGAACAATACTCTGAAAACTGTCCCCATGTGGATTCTCAATAACTAGTTTTTAACCAAATTTTAATCAGTTTAAAAAGGTGAGTATCAGTCAAGGATAAGGAGCATATATCATATGGGTATATAATATATATGGAAATGTTTTAAGGAGAACTGTCTTGGGTAGGAAATACTTGTAGCATCATGTGACTTCACAGATGACACAACAATGAAAGCAAAGCTTGCTGGAGGGAAAACAGCTTCTTTTTTTTTTTTTAACTAAATTCACTGTGTGGAATTTCATAAACCATTCATGTGGGTATGCGAGTTGTTACTTTGCCTCAGATATATTTGAATAATGCATTGAAATCATTTATCTGTTCAAAAGTGTAACTATGCACATAAAGACAATGATTAACAAAAATGCACCAAACTTATCCAAAATTATCAATTATAATTCCATGTTATTTTACTTCATGTCAAGTAATGGTTTTAAATATGACAGATTAAATTTTTGAGACCATGAAATCAACCAGATCCTGAAAAATTAGGAATCAAAGTTTAACTGAACTATTTTCACAATCAAAGTTTAGTACATTTTTGTCCAACTATTATGACTAATTTATATTCTGTTTCAAAATCTGCTCTATATCATCAAAATGGTAAGTTGTCATATATACAAGACTATTACACAGCCAGTGAACTTTTAAGTATATGACTGATACTGCTCACAGAGGCTTGGCTGTTTCCACGAAGGTACTGCTGCTTTTCAATAGGGGAAAATTAATTTTACAGATACTGTATTTTTAAGTCATAAATTTTTGAAATTAGAACACTCTTATATTGAGTGATAGCAACAAAACTGAAAAGCAGGCCGCCTTGTATTTCTATAACATATAGTAAAAGCAAATGCTTCAAATGCCAAAAGTGCTTACAAAAATAATTTTTAATGATTCCAAAATTATGTCTCTGAAATATTGATGATTTTTCCCAACTGAAAAGATCAAGTCATTACCGTAAGTTCATTTACTTGGTAAACAGTTATAAGATCTTATAATTTTTTTCACAAACAAACTTTTACTCACTTGCTACATTTTAATGTTCTCTGGACACCTATCAGTGTTTTGACTAGTGAAATGAGTAAAAGTTCATTTATGAACAAAAAAGGAAAAAAAATAGATCTTGAAACACTGCTGGCTTAACACTGCAATAAGCTGTTAAATTATGCTACACTTAGAGCGCATTCTCAACGAATTAAGCCAGGCTTTACAAAGCCGGTGACCTAAAAATGGCGGACGTACATGAAAGAAAAACCGCCTAATCTTTTAAGTCTCTCCGCCTCCCCACAAGTCGTCCCTGCGGGGTACATTAATTAAATCTCGGCTCCGTTCGCCATGCGGAAGCTACCTGAGAAATATTAAGTGCGCATGCTCATCAGTTAAACTCGTGGTGAAGAAAGCATGGCGGCTGAAGGCGATCGAAGGAAAAAAGCTCTTCTGTTCTATTATCTTTGAAAACAGAGGCGAAAAAGGAATAATTTGGCCCGTAGAGCAGCAATGAATCGACTATCTACGGAGATCATATCACCAGAGATATTCACGGAAATATTAATGTTCGGAGCCGAGATTTAATTACTGTACCCCGCAGGGACGACGTGTGGGGAGGCGTGTGAGAGGCAGAGAGACTATTAAAAGATTAGGCGGTTTTTCTTTCATGTACGTCCGCCATTTTTAGGTCACTGGCTTTGTAAAGCCTGGCTTAATTCGTTGAGAATGCGCTCTTAAATACCTCACATCGATAGTGTCACATATAAATATTCTATACATAGGACACATGCCATGCACTTGAGTAAACATTATCTATATAAATATAAATATATATAAATATAAGTATAAATATATATGAAAACGGAGATATGCACATTGATGTGCATGTGCATGCATGCATGAACGTATGTGCATGCTTGTGTGCAAAAGATAAAATTAAAACACTATTAACTACATTTCAAAAATCTATATTGCAATACAGAATTTCAATCTGTATAGAACTTAAAACATATCATATCATATCATGCAAACATGTCACCCGGACCTCAATAAAACATGCCAAACCTGTGCAAATAAGTATGATATAAACCATGCAACTAACAGAAACACCACATCACTGCACAAAAAGAGGAGCAGGGTTAATTTCTTTAAGAAACCATTGGGATTGGTATACATGATGATTTAACTGATTAGAACTGTTGACAATTTCCTGTCAGGTTGCAAATGCCTTTGGGTTAAACGTTTACATTATTGAATTGAATTAGATTATACATAAATAATTTGTTTTGTTGATCTCCCATGTCATGCATATTTTATAGCCTGCAATGATCCTCAGCACTTGATCTGCAGGTTAATTTTGTTTCTTTCATTTCTTGTCTCCTTTTGATATGGCTATCTTTGTCCATTGAAGTTCTATATATGATCAATGACTTCCACTATCAATTGCAATTAAAATTATTACATTTTGATGTACTTGATACGTGTCACATGCAAGGATGGCAAGCAATAAACAATATATAATTTTATGGGGAAATAATCGAAAGGAAAAGGAAATATTTATATAAAAATACAACAATAAACATGAAAGAAATGAGTTAACAATATAAACAAAAAGCAAATCAATAGTGCATGAACAAAATAAAAATTAAAAATATAATTAAAAATATTTTAAAAAATGAAAAAAAAAAGAGTTCTGAACTAAATATCAGATTTGTTGGATAGTTCAGTGTCCAGCCATGGTAGTGGACAGCTGTGGCATGCTGGGCAGGTGACTGGACAGAGGTCAAACATATCAAGATATCAAACACTTATGTTATCCAGATGTGTTCTAAAATGGGCAGAGAAGCAAAAATGTTTAACAGGAAAGAAAGAAGGCATGATCTGTTTATCTGCACTGAGCAGGTTTCTCACAGGAACAAAATGACTTATTAAAATTAATGAAAATAAAGTGCATTTCTTTTTTTTTTTCTTTTTGATGAAACAGCTGAGAGTTTCAAACCCATTCTATCATGTGCATCTTGAAACTTCTTCAAGTGACATTTAAAATTTTTTTGGGTGTGTTTGTGCAGTGCCATTAGTTAAGAGTTCTAAGATGCAGTTTTAAAAAGTTGAGCTTACTTGAAAATTTGCTTTACAAAATTGTTTTCCAAAAGTTTCCCTCAGCTTGTCAATTTCTTATAACACGAATGAATAAGGTTCTAAAATACACCACAAAGCACGTATTATCAGCATAATCTGGGAATTAATTGGATTAATATTGACCTTGTATTTAGTAATTCCTCACTTATATTGTAAATATATTGAGAAAGAAATAGTAAAATGCTCAACAATTATTCCATCAATGAAATAAAAGAAAAAAGAAAAAGTTAATATAAAATTAATTGAAAATTATTTTAATGACCCTATTTCTTGCTACTTCTTAACCAAAACAAAATGAACACATGTTAGTCAACACTCAAATTCAAAAGCAAAGTGCTAGGCGTTACTTCTTGTGCTGCCCCAAAACAAAACACTATACATGAAGGTTAGTGGTGCAATAATAATTCAATGTGCATTTTTTTCTGTGATGAAATAATATCAAGAACAATTTTCTACATAATTTCAAATATTTATGAGGGAAAAAATCCATTATTGGAATCATTCTTTAAAACATATCTTATATATGTACGTATAGAAGCAATTTGGCAAGGAAAACTTTTTGTTTGAATGCTTGGTATGAATTATGTTTTAAGTCAATTTATTTTGTTTTTCTGCAAGGAAAATAAGAGGAAATGGGGGAATCAAGACATTAAATTGAGCTGTTTGCTTTATGCTAGAAATTTGCTTGATTAAAAGATTAATTTTTTAATCAACAATAATTAAATAATTTAGATACGGAAATGTGAAAAAAATAAAATAAACAACACAATTACACCAAGTGTGGACAACAATAGTTAGTGCAACACAAAACATGACAACAAAGTGGCAAATCCAGGATTTTATACTCCAGGCACAGGACACAAGGGTTAAACTTTTTGTTTCACATAGCATGCTTTCACATTAAGAATAACACTTTACAGAAGGTATGGGGATTAGCGAAGGGGTGGAGGGGGTGGAGAATGGGGTGGGTGGTGGGAGGAGCCTGGATCTGCCATTGGGGCACAAGACAAGGGATATAATATATCAAAATAAACCACTGCACAGCACTGCCACCACATCTAGCCACCAGACTGGAGTTAGAAATATCCATCAAACCTCTTCTGCTGGATCCTTCTCTACCTGCTTCTCTGACACAGCGCGGCTACGAGACTTTGGTCGCTTCATGTGAGCACGCAGCATGCTAGGGGATGCTGAATCACTGCCAGGGGGGTGCTGCTCAACCTGTATAAGAAGACACAGCATGCAGAGCTAACAGAATCAAGCAGCGCAAACCAATGCAAGGGATTTCTTTTTTTGATGAACATGCTATTAGTATTAATGTCATGGTTATATTAATAAATATTATCTGAGTGTAAAAACATCAATAAATACATTAAAACTATGCTGACCCATAATGACTTTTTCAAAATCTTAGGTGCTTAAAAACAATCTGCAACACTCTATAAATGGGAAACTGGATGAGAGTTAATTGCTTTGTGTTTGTAGGAGACCAGTTGATGACCCTGCATAAGGTAATGCAGGCAACTGTTCCAGTACCATGCAGAAATAAATATAGCCTTTTCATGGCAGAGAGCAACTTTCATTGGGACTTTGAGACTTGACACTACACACAGGTAAAAAGCTGTTATAGCTGAAACTACAAATTATATTGTTAGAAATTTCATAAAATATTCAGATAAAATTTGTTCTGACTCCACTCCAGACCAGTCATGTTAAGAATCAATGCATATTACACTAATCCAGAAATAAGAAGATTACACGGTGTTTTTGCTTCATTTGTTGTATGATTAATAGACCCAGCTGGGCTTTTCTGTACAGTACTTGCTTTGATCATTTGTGCTTCTCTGAAGACAAGTAAATTGAATGCTGCTGAAATGCTGATTATCTGAAGAATAATCCTAATAAGTTGCTGCTGGAAAATAAATTTGCTTTATTCCCAGGGAATAAAAGCCAATTTTCAACACTAGAGACTGACATAAAAACATTTTGTTCTAAACGAACAAATTACCACAATGGAAAAAAAAATATTTGGCACATCTTTTTGTTTTTTAGGTGTAATATTGGGCTTTTTGTCAGATGTTGCATTATCTAGACTGCCAATGATGAGTTTGTTGCCACACATGGAGATCAATAACTGTAATGATTTTGTAATTCTAGTGGTGTAGCCTTTCACAAGGGATGCGACAGGTGCTTAAGTACTTCAATTTAGCTTGGTATTCTTCTGTCTCAGGCCAACAATTTCTAACCAAACAAAAAAAAAACTTAAGTCAGTTCCCTGTCCTAGTTGACTAAGATTTCCATGAGATTTCTGTCACACTGCTCCTGATAGGGTACTAGGATGTGCCCATGTAACCTTGGTAATAAAGTTCTTAGCCCAGGAACCTGTCGACTTAAATTTTTTTGTGAAATGGGGACCAGAGAGCTTTGCTACCTCGTCAATACTCACGTCTGAGATATGTGACATCCAGAGTCGTACTTCAATTGCCAGGATCCAGTAAAATGCCAGGATGACCGCGGGGCTCACATAGACTGGCCATGGGTTGACGTAGAACTCCACCTCCCAGGCTTTACTACAGCTAGTCTCTATGATCCCCGTAAGCCCAAACAGTCTGAAATGTGACAAATAATAATAATAATCATAAAACTCACACATGATTTTGGGTTATATAAAAAATGAAAAAATGGCCTGATGGCCTTATGATGGGGAACTACAAAGTCCAAAAACTGCCAAGGATAAGCCATGTCTGAATAATAATAATAAAAATAACAATAATAATAATAATAATTAATAATAACAAAATTTGCATGTTATGTTTAATTTTAATTTTCATGTTAATTATTTTTTTTATTTTAAAATTTAACTTTCAGGTTATTTTAGCTGCCATTTCACAAGGAATATTCTAAACATTCTGCAGGACTTGATTTATCCTTTGCAAGTGAATTCATCTTCAACACTTTTCAAGGACAGAAGACTAAGAGATTAAAAAAATCCAGCTAAGTGTGGCATTTCCACATCAATCATTAAAACAGCTTCAACTAGAGTTGAAACAATTTTCCAACTGAGCTAGCTGTCATATTATCGCAGTTTATAAACCAAGACCTCAGTTTAGAATATTCATAAGTCACTGTCAAATTAAGCATGTACGCAGGCAGCTTTCCATCTACTATCAGTTTAGGAAATGAAAAGATTAATTACCCAGATATAATTTTCTTGTTAACAAGCAATGTTTACTCCAGGGTAATTAAAAATCAAATACCTCTTTGGATGACAAAATCACTGGGGATAATAACATTTGATTCAGTTACCAATTTGCAATCTTTCTCAGGCCTTCGTTACATTAAGTGGTGTATACTGCAGACATAAAGTCTGTACCAAAACACTTGAAAAAGACTGACAACTTATTACCATTTTGAATCACAGCATCGAAAGAGATTAACAACAGCTGCATTTTGATTCATTCATCCATTCTAGGTAATCTCCAACAATTATAAAGCTTTTAGCTTGATGGGAATCATTCAAGTCATAAAATGAGGCTGTCAGCACTACAATATATACACTGTATTATTCCAAAGCTTTACCTTGCATAAAAGTCCTCATGATCCAGAATCTCCTGGAAGAACTGGAACTGGTACAGATACAACAGCAGTAAGTGGACCCCGCTGAACACAAGCAGGACCAACCGGAACCGCCTGTACGACTGCCCCAGCCCGCGATAACAGGCCCACCAGGTGGCAATAAACAAAAATGACAGAAAATACACCGCAGAGATAACAGACGGATGGGCTATCCCGGCCACGCCCAGAAATAAAATTGCTATGACATCGCCAAGATCCTGTATGTACTGTTGGTAGGACACCTTTTTGTGACTGAGAAGTGAACTTCTGCGTACTGGTTGCTGGGGGTCTGAAGGTCTGGGGGGAGGGTTGAGTTTCCAACACACTATAAATGTTATTAAAGAGATTGTGAACATGGCGACATCGGGGACTAAGAGACGGGCGATGTTGAGAACATTGGCCTCGTCCACCCTGAAAAAAAGATTGAAAAAGTTATTTCTGTTCTTTTATTATATAAATTGTGTGTGTGTGTGCACGCGCGCGTATACTATATTGAGCAACAAGCATCTACAACTATATCACATCGTTTCAAATATCATAATATTGAATGAGATGTTCAACTTTATAAGAAAATTGACTGCAGTTTGTCACCTTTGAAATCCAAACTGGCGAAGTATTTTTTCTTCTTGTGAACCTGAAGTTTTAAAGATGAGCCACAATATATATTAAAAAATAAATAAGTATTTTCAACACTATATATACTATTTTCAAAACTATATAAAACCTATTCAAATGTAACATCAAATGTGAAAGACAAAAACATTTTATATCTTTATCTAACATCTGTCTACTAAAGGTAAATCAAAGGTTTTTTTCAAATACTTTTACAATATGCAGATTGGGGGATATGATTTGCAATATGATTATTTCAGCCTGGTTGAATCCAGTTATGTTTTAAAAGGAACTCAAGGAAGTATTTTAACACTTTTTTATGATAAGACATCTGAGCCATTATTCTCAATCATATTTTAAAAAACAAACCCTTCCAGTCACTGTGACGATCACATTACCCAGGGTCACTCATATAAACTGGTTGAGTGGAAAACAAACACAGTTCCTTGTCACAGCCAGTCTTATATATTCATTTGAGTCAAAATATGGCTGAATGCAGCTTTAGACTGTTAACTTGGGTGAGCAGTCAATATAACAGCCTATTTTAAGAAATAGCCTGTTGTTACAACTCCTCTATTCCCAGATAAATAGCATACATCCATACAAGGAAGTATTAATGGACTGGGCAATTATCCATAGCTCCAGCTTAGAAAATCTTTCCTTATTTGCTGCCAATTAGAGAAATCCCTCAGAAAAAAACCCTAGGATCGAGTGAGGGCAGGTGTCACGCGTGGGCTTCTACACTGGGTCTCAAATATCCACACACTGTGGATTGTTTGTCACATGCAGGCCCGTAGCCAGTGGGGGTTCGGGGAGGGGGGGGGGTTAGAAAGAACTGCCCCTTTTGGTGGGAAAAGGTCTAATCCGGGTAAAATTTGTTCTAGGTTCATGAAGTTTTTATAGAAAAAGGATCACTTTTTCAAAAAAGAACCCCCCTTTTGAAATTGCTGTCTACGGGCCTGACATGTCATCAGTTCTTATCGCGGAATTTTTTTTA